TTTCCCTAATGCAGATTCCCCTTGACAAGGTACCTGGCAAAACCATGAGGAAGGTCAGATCCTCCTGGGACTCCCTGTGCCCTGAGGATAGTCCCCAAAACCAACTGAAGGACTGCAGGACTGATCTGATGCTTTACAGTGTCCCCTCTGCATGTGACAACCAGGGGACCAAAGTGATGCCTAAGAGAAGGGTGAAGTGACCATTGGCTTTTTTATTGTATTTGTTACAAGTAAACTTTGGGATTTTTTCTACCAAAGCAGGCACTAGCCTTAGACCATCTAGTGTTATTTGGGGATATTTAACACTACTGCACACAGAGCTAGGGAAATTCACTTCAAATTCATACATTTGCTTCTATTTAAGAGGCAGGAGGAACAGTTTTGGGGAAAATATTATAACCATGTGGGGAAAAAAAGGAGCAAATTAGAGGATATTTAGCTCCCATAAATCTTGAAGGTCATTCCATTTTGGAAATATTAAGAAATCCTGAATGCTCTAAGCTCATGATCTACGAGGAGAGCTTTGCCACCTCAATAAATCAGAGCAGGCCAGAAACGGTGTCCAGCAGTGACAGGGAAACGCCATCTGCCAGACCTCTCCAGGAGCATGACTGCCCTGTCTCAGCTCCAAAGCGTGTCTGGCATATTCTAGGACCCTTCAGGAAGTATCAGGATATGCCTCAAATGGGCCATGGGAATGCTCTCTGCAGAGCACCTAAAATACATTCCAAGGAATGCGTGGGAGTCTGTCAAACAGAAAAAGTGCATGTTTCCGAACGATGATGTTAAATTGTGTATCTGCCCAGCAGCTCGCATATGGGACACTGCAGCTCACCACAGTCATCTGTCACGGCGACCTAAAGGCAGGTTAGCCTTGCTCACAATCACAGCTCAAGAACTGCAGCAAGTTTCTGCTCTGTAAGCACACAGCACATAAAAGGAAAGTTTTGATTTTTCAGATTTTTAATTATAAGAGCTTGCTTTCTACTCCACCCCAAATTCCAGAACAGACATAATGCGACCTCATAACACATGACAGCCCTGAAAAGAGGAGAAATTTGGGTACCTGTGGCACATGCTTATGACCTGCATGATCTGGGAGAAAAAATGGCAAGCATCTAAAATCTCTAGTTTGAATGGCACACCTCAACGAAACAGCAAATGACATCTACACAGACTAAATGCTGGATATGACAATTCCGAGTTACAGTCCAAATCTCTCCCAACTCTCAAGTTTGCATTCCCTATTCAGACATCAGTAAAATATCTAGCACAATTTGTCACTGCACACAGTGAAAGGAAGTGTACTGCCAGAAAACTATTCTTAAACAGGAATTACATACACAAGAAAGTGTGATATATATTTGTGCCTATGGGATTCTGGCTAACATGACAATAAATTACATTTCCACTTATTTTCTCCCTGACAAGTAAGAAGAGTTGTGACCCCAAAGCATTTCTACCTGGAAGGCTGAACTAGCCTGCCAGAAGCTCCCCAGCCAAATTTTCCAGCCATTTCCTTTCTGTCCTTAATACACTGATCCATTCACAGCTACTCTTCTTTGATGTGTGCTGAAGTATTCAAGGTCAGCAGCACTAAGTTCCCAAAGTATCTTGCTAATCCTAGACTAGCACTGCTGTTATTCAAGGCAGCTATTGAACAATTTCAGACATTAATCTTGACTAGCATCTGCTCCCTACTCCTACCTACTGCTTTCAAAGCAATCAGTATATGAATGTGTAGAAGAGAACAAGCTAGACCAGAGAAAAAGTAAAATAAACAAACTGATTAACAGCCTTTAGATTTAACAAGGAGGGCTTGAGACAAGGTCAAGTCCCTGAAAGAGTAGAGGAAAAGATGACACCACAGTACTAGAAATCATGGCACTAAGGAAAGGGAAATTGGCAGCCAGTAAGCCACACTGTGGGCTTATTGCTCAGATACTTCCTTTTTCTCCTCCTCTTTCTTTATGCTGCCCTGCCCTTTTCTTTCTTCTTCAGTTAGGGAGAATCAGCAGTGAATGAAAACTAGAAGCTGAAGGGAAGAAAAACAAACGGCGCTAGAACCCAATGTACAGAACCTGCATACTACAGTTGTAGAAGGGCATGAATAACCTTTTTTTTTTTTAAGAAAAGACAACAACTTCATCCTGGCACAGCTTCTATCTTGTGCTTGCTTATGTTCAAAAGCATTCACTGCTAGACAGAATGAATAAAATCTACCAATCTCATTAATAAAAGGGCCAAAAAAAACCAAAATAAGCACTCTAGCACTGAAAAACTAGCTGTGATAGAGGCATTTATAAAAGTATGAAGAGAAAATCAAAACGAACCCTTTCCTTTTTCCCTAGTGACACCTAGATGTATGTTCTCTCCCTTGCCTTCCTTCTCTGGAGAGCATCATGGTGTGGTAGGATAGGGAATGAGAAGGTTTGTGATGTCTTGATTTAATTTTTCTTGTTAACATTATTTCTTTGTCAAAAATCCAAGCAGTTCAAA